GGGTCAAACTACCCCTGGGAGCAAGTTTTCAGCGAATTTGGTGATTTCGAGTATTTTGGCGCCGGCGCCCGTGGGCGGGCGCCAGGAGGTTTCGGGTCAAGCGGATGCGATATTCGTGTTCAGCGGGTCGAACTACCCCTGGAGCCAAGTTTTCAGCAAATTCTGCCCACGGAGAAAAAAGTCGGTCAGGAACTGGCCTGATTTCGGATGACTGGGGCAGTAAAGGGTAAATAGTGCCCAATTTTTTTCAATGATATATAGGGATTCAAATGCCCGACCGTCACACAATCCAGTGGCTGGATTGAATTCGTAGCCTGCTATGCATATATTGTCCTTCAGCTGACATCTCCATGAACCGGGTGTGTTGAAGCATTCCTCATTTACACCACAAGGTTGTTCAAAAGTGGTGCATTCGTCAACATCTGAATGCAAAATGTCAGATCTGAAAATGCTATCAAGAGTTCAGCTTACCATGACATGTTCCACCGGAAGGATAATATCCGAGAGGGCACTCAATGCTGGTGCATTCACCCGTCACAGGGTTCTGTAGCTCACCTTGAGCACATTTTTTCGGATCACATCTGTAAGCAGCACTTTAATGAATTGTGGAGCGGCACTGAAACCACAGCAATGGAGTTCCAGGTAGCCAGTTAGGCCAACGCACACTACAGCGCATCTGACGTGCGGTGCAAAGCGCTCACGTCTATACAATTCGCGCAGCAAACAGCACTGAAAGATAGAGAGCAACGAGAAGTACAGTCCATTACGGACTGTCGGGGCGGCACAGCCGCGCTGCAATGTGACGCGACAGCGGCTGCGGCTCGGTGACGGCGAATCAGCTGATTTCCATGGAATTCGGCTGCGAATTCCCACTTTTTCAACTCTTCAAGCTTCGAAAGTGGAAGGTGAGTTATTTTTATTATGAGCAATTAAATTGTACTGACTCTGATGAATCTGAAAGAATGTAAGCCATTTGAATAAATGCCTGAAATAAGGCAAAATACAAGGAAAAGAGCATATAATCGACATAAAAATAAAGGAAATCAGAGCCAGTACAATTCAAAATTGTTCAGAATAAGCATCTTTCCACTTTAGAAGCTTAAATACCTGAAAAAGTAGGAATTCGCGTCGAATCCATTGAAATCAGCGGATTCACCGTCACCGAGCTGCAGCCGCTGTGCACAGTGCGGCGCCGCCCCGACATTCCGTATTGATGAGGACTGTAGGGGGGCGGCGGGCCACAGGCAAGAAGCGTGTTTGGCTAGTTTGGTATAGTTAGGCATGTTGTTGGCTAACGCAACAGCGCGGGCCGGAGTTTGAAAACGGACGTGGCACTCGCCTACCCTCCGCCCCGTTTTCGTGCACGTTTGAGCGTAGAAGGTGGAACACTACTGCAGCTGCGCGACACAATCACCTCGCGCTTGGCAAGGGCCAGGATTCAGGTGAGTTCACAGTTTGCCCTCAATGGTCTTAAAGGCAGCGCCCACTTTCATTTGATGTTCCCGCGCCCTCACTGGTTATCATAGCCTCTCCCTATGAGGATGCAGTATACTAAATTTACGTCTCAAAAAGGCGAGAGGATAGTGCTCGCTAGTGAAGAGTCGGCCGCCCCGCCCACCTGGCTCAGCACAGGTTCTATATAGGGCATTTTCCATGATTTTTTTTCTGCTTTTTTCACTACTGGATCACGTATTATATGAGCTCCATAACTCATTATTCTTGAAGCGGGCTCAGCCTTTAGAAGGCTAGCCAAGCAATTGTGCAGCCACGTGGGCAAGGCGGCTATGCTCCTCACTCAGCGCGGTGGTGCCATGTCCCCTCGTTTTTGAGCTGCGAAACTAGTACATCCTCCACCTTGTCGACAAAGCTACGATATCCTAAGAGGGCGTAGGAACATCAAATGAACGCGGGCGCTGCCTTCAAGGGATGATGTTTGTAGAGAAGTAAAAATTGGATAGTACCTGTAGCTTCCCTGAGTATTGCGGCACTGATAGAGGGGACCACAGTCATGGGCACCAAGGGTACACTCATCCACGTCTGAAAGGAAGCCCTTATTGAGTGATTCCATTCAATATAAGTTTCAGTAAGTGTTAGACAGTCAGTAAGATCACAGCAAGCCGTTGCAAACCAATGCACTCCTCCGTTTCTGAGTCCATTGCGTAGCCGGTACCACAGGAAAGCGTTCGGATACATTTGAACGATCCTGGCAAGTTCAGGCATCGTTGTGATTCCAGACAATCGTCCATCAACAGCAGCATCGGTCGAATGTCTGAACGGCTGCGTTAGTTCACTCACGGTATTGTTAGTAGTTGACAGTTCAACTGCTCAGGGAGAGAGAGAGAGTTAGTAGTGAGTTCCCGCGATAAATGGATGGGCGGAGACTCAGAGTCCGTCGTCATTGATGTGCTACTTCTGATAAGGTAGCGAGAATGGTGTACCGACACGGAAAGCACTATCGTTGCGAGTCTCCGCCCACTCAACTAACGCGGATTTTGCCTTCAAATTTTTACATTCGAAGCGTGTTAGAATTATGTTTTTACTTTAATGTTGCACACTATGTAGTGTTAGTTGTGTTACTATAAAATTCACGCCATCAAAGTGTTCGAGGTCAATTAATTCTGCTCAGAAGCGCCATTCACTCGATTCTCATCC